ACCAGTAGCAGACTCGACGAGGGAGCATGCTGCGGATTGTGAGCAAAGCACTTCTGCTATGTTTCTGTCTGTCTGGCGCGCGCGAGCGCATGAATCCCTTCAAACCGCTGACAGTACTCGTACCCCTGCCTGATAGTGAGAAGATGATGGTTCACATCAGCTGGAATCATTCTTCGGATGGGAACTGGAAACTCAGGTACCACATGTCCATGGGCGATCACGGTCGACCCGTCCCCCTTTCTGGCCGCCAGCTGCGTGAGTTTACCGCGCGCCTGGAGCGTGATTTTGAGGTGCCGCGCCTGCTTGATCCTGTGTCCTTCAACATGAAGAAGCGGAAGTGGAGAAAGGGCTGGGTTCAGTCAGGAAGATGTGGCAGTTTGGAGCCTTACTGGGACAAGAGCTCAAAGAATCTTTCTATGGCAATCTGGGACGCCTACAGCGTGCTGGAAGCTTCCGACTTGCCCAAAACGAAAGTTCTAGTTAATGTTGGAGCGGGAGATGGTCCCGGAGCAGGACAGAGCGTGGATCCCGTGTGGGTTTTGGCATTGGGCTTCCAGCTCGACGCAGTTTTTGTGGAGCCTGGGCAACGTGATTTCGAGAAGCTCAAGCAGAATATCGAGTCGCATCGAATGCCCCTAGGGCTGGGTAGCGAACCCTACCAGATGGTTCTAAAACCCGACGACATCCCAAAGCTTGTGCGAGGCTCTGCTGTATTGCAACAAAACTTGCATTGGCTCGATGTCCTAAAGGTTGACATAGATGTGAACGATTGCGATGTGGCCGCATCCTTTCTGAGGGAACGTCGAGCCCGGATTGTAGTGATCGAAGTGAACCCCTCCTTCCCGCCGCCCATTCATTTCTGCCAACATGCGACCTCGCCGCCCCACGGCAACACAAAGCCACTGCATGGATGTTCCTTGAGTTACATGGTGGAGTTGTTCGCAACCTTTGACCTGTGGCTCTATCGTTTCGATGGCCAGGACGGACTCTTCGTCGACTCCTTCTTGGCGCGGGAAATCACAGAAGCTTTCGGCGAGCGCTTTCCCAAGGATGAGATCGACTGCTTCCAGTGGCCGCAACTTTTGCCCTCGACTGCCTCGGCACCTGTAGACGACTTCCGGAACTGGTTTTATGACATCGCAAAAGCGGAGGAGATGCTAGACGTGGCCTTGAGAACGGCGAAGGCCCAGTACGCCCGCGAGAGACGATTGTGTCCGGTCGGACCCGAAGCACAGTGCAAGTTTCACGACATTGCTGCTACTGGTGAAAGAGCGATGGTGCGCGCTCCACCCTATAAGTGGCTGGATGCGGGGTCTCAGGTCGCGTGCAAGCAGGCCTGTTGCGATGACACTTATTGTCGCGCCGCGACCTTCTCAGGGTCGGGTGGACACACTTGCATGTTGCACAAACAGGTCCCTCTTCTGAACCGTAGTGCTCTTCCAGAGTCCGGCGCCGATGCTATTGACGTTGTGCATGTCCGTCGTGAGGCCAGGGATGAGGAAGCATGCATGGAAGCTTTCCAAGTTTTGCAACCACACTTGCCGATGACCATCGGCTTGCCAATCTGTGGACCTTCCTGTCAATTCCCTGTATGGCCTTGACCCAAGACCGAAGAGTTATCAGGTGACAGTGAGACATGAGTACGTGTACAAAGGCCGCTGAGTTGGCAGAAGTGGAAGGATGTAGACAAAGGCTACAGCATTGAAGTACGGTTCTGCATGGGCTTTTGAAGCATGAGATCGTTCTGGTGTGGATTTGAGATATGTACTGAATGAGGGAGCACGCCAAACTCTAATTCAGAAACAATCAACTGAGGCAAAACCGCAGCTATCGCAGCGTAAACCAGGTCACTGTCGACCGACCGAATAGAGGGTTCCGACTATTACGTCGTAGTAGTAGTAGTAGTAGTAGCAGCAGCAGCAGTAGTTGTAGTAGTAGAAGTACGATTGTGCGCACTAAGCTCAACTTCGCCAGGCACTGTGCCATCAGCTAGCTCCTCACAGAAATCGAAGCGGCTTTCAGCACTTTCTTGTCGGGGCATTCGTCTGTACCTCGCGACGCATTCGTTCTTATGCAGAGCTCCTATTAGAGACCCGTGCCTACCAGTATCTCTTAGCCAGGGAATATACCCAAAAGGGCTCCTTCAAGGGTTCCTTAAAGGGATCTAGAAGGAGGGAATTGAAGATTAAATATACCCTTAATTGTAGTAGGTAGGCCTTAAAGGGATCTATAAGGAGGGAACTTAAGATTAATTATACCCTTAATTGTAGTAGGCCTTAAAGGGATCTAGAAGGAGGGAATTGAAGATTAATTATACCCTTAATTGTAGCAGGATCCCTAATATGATTTACGGTATGCACATTCCTTCATTCAGGAACATACCTCCACTTACAGTAGGATCCTTAATATGATTTACGGTACGCATATTCCTTATTTCAGGGGTACACCTTCACTTACAGTAGGATCCCTAATATGATTTACGGTACGCATATTCCTTATTTCAGGGGTTCACCTTCACTTACAGTAGGATCCCTAATATGATCTACGGTACGCATATTCCTTAATTCAGGGGTCACTTTCACTTACAGTAGGATCCCTAATATGATTTACGGTACGCATATTCCTTAATTCAGGGGTATACCTTCACTTACAGTAGGATCCTTAATGCGATTTACGGTACGCATATTCCTTCATTCAGGGATATTGAGGTCTCTGGGTGGACGCGTGAAGCAGGGGGGAGATCGTAGGCTAGGGGGTTCATCTCATCGACGAGACTTCTCCTGAAGGGGAAACATCAAGAACAGTACCAATCATCCGAATTCTGAGAAGAGCGATCTTCCAAGTCCATGGCTTGAAGATGTCTCTTCTGGAATAGTCTTCCCCGCACGCTGACACTTCGGGGTATTCTGGGTTCTTGTTAAAGGATTTAATTTAAGTTACCATAATTAGGATCTACAGTGAATAATAAGGTTTCCGTATTATGGTAACTTAAATTAAGTTCCTTAACATGAACCCAGTATTTGATTCTTACAGCATGCGCTTCATGTCCTTGGGCGATGTCTTCTCCGATGTAATCTTTTGCAAACCCTAAACCCGAAAGCCGAACCCGAAACCCTACAATCCTTACCTTGGGTTAGTAGGCAATGGAGGAATGGTGTACAATTGTAACTACTGTTACTACCATTCTTCCATTCCCTACTAACCAAAGGTAAGAATCTGGCCCAGCAGAGTTGGACCTTTCGCGTTGATCGTGCCTTCCTTGAGCGAGATGGCGAGTCCAAAGCTTTAAAAGAGAAACCTAAATCCCAAATGCCTCTTCCCTAAAACCCTAAACCCCGTAGCCATTTTGGCTCAAGCATAGATAGTGAAGCCAGCATAGTCAGTGAGTGTTCCAAAAAGCTGCTGAAACCATGCGCTTGCTGCAAATGTTAGCAGTGCTGATGGTTGTTGAGTGCGCAAAGAAGAAGTGGGTCAAGGTGAAGCCAAAAGCAGACGCTTCTGTGCAGACAGATCCTGTCCCACGAGTGGCACTGCAAATTCAAAGCTTGCTGGAGATGGAGCACGAGTACTATCATGGCATGTCATCTGCATCGAGCCAGGCGGCAAGTGGCTCTACAGCCATTGCACCGGCATCAAGTTCCTCAAGTTCATCGACATGTGCGAAGGATGCTGACGGCGAACGTTCGAAGGCTGCGCGCGAAGGCGGTTCCTGAGCCTCTGCATGTACAGACCACATTTACATAGGCTCGCCCAAGCGTGATCAGAAGGTGAAGCAGCCTCCCGGGACAAAAAAAAAACGGACTGTTGGATTGGGTCACTAATGAGGTTAGTAGGCGTCGGGCGGTTAAACATCTATGTGAGGTCCTTCCTAACATGCCGCAGTGGAACAAGCAATGGCTTACAAGGTTTTGGACATATTGGGTGCACGCCGTGAGAGAGAACCCCCTCAGCCCAATTAGGCAAGTCATTGACAGTATGCATTGGGTGCGAATTAGGAGGGGTTATGTTAGACCGGCGCACATTATAGACGTCGATGCAAGAAAGATTGAGAAGTCCTTCCTCCAATTTCGACCAAGAAGCACATACAGAGAATGGACACATGCAGCACAGGATCGACAGGTGTGGAATATGCTCCTTAGTTTCTGGATTGCGCACTGGGTCCCGTTTGTTCCGCGTGTCCCGCCGGCAGACCATTTCTTAGGGAAACAACTAATAGCGGTTGGGGGCCTCTGGGCCTCCCTCAGGCCTGCTAGGTGCTTACCCTTCGAGACTCCCTACACCCTGACCTTTAAACACGTTCAGCATATACATTCTGACTTTTGGAAGCGTAAAGGGGTCTCCTTTTTACTCCTCCAGCAATATGATGGAGGGGCCACACTCATGGTTGGGTCGGCAGGGTTTGAACGAGACACCCTTTTGGTCATTCAACTCCCTGCTCTCTTTGACAGTGAGACCAGCAATTTGTTGGCTGGCTTGTTAATCCTCGCCAAAACGATGGACCTCCTTAAGGCACACTACAAAGGTGAAGTTACTGTGGTTGTGCAGCCTGCCTATCTTAGTAGGTCGGTTATAGCCGAGCGCTTTGTGACAGCTGATCCGGTTCTAGTAAGTACGTGGCTGACATTAGAAGCCAAGTACGACATCCTGTCTAGCTGCTTCTTAACACCTAGGAAAGTACCCACGTGTTGTACAGACCTTTTTGAACCTGGATACAACACGGCTCCAAAACAGGTACTTCAAAGATCCTGGGATGTTAGCACCGCTAGGTACGTCCCATTTACTGATATGTACTGAATTTGTTTGCCTAGCTCTGCATTAAACTGCATGCTGAATTGGTGTGCTCAACACTGCATGAGTTAGTAAATTCACTGTTGCGTTTAACACGGCATGTGCACGCATGTTCGACGAGGGGGTTAACAGGAACAACTCGATACTCGCAGTTGCGCAGGCTCAAAACTTACCTAGCGCTTTTCACGCCTACGTGTAATACTGCATAAAACATGCAGAAGATCTTTGAATGGACGTTGATCACAATGATCACCCTGCTGTATCTGCTTCAGGTGACGGGCTGGGGAGTCAAGCTGTTAAAAAAAGCAAGGGCCCTTTTCGGGCGGGATCCTGTTGATTCCTTGAATCAACCTATGGGTCCGGAGCCACGGACGGGTGGCCCCCTGCAGCAGATCCTGGAGATGATGCACGCCGCGGCAGACGCCTCGGAGGAGATCCTGAAGATGTTGGGCTCACTCACGGCGAAGCGCCCGCATCTGGATATGCTCCCGGATATGAAGGAGGTCATAGACCGGATCAGTGATCGCCTCACCGACGGGGTAGCCATCATGACAACTGCTTCGCGTGAAACGGAGCGCTCACAAATGGTTAAGCTGCACAATGACGTCGTCGACGTCGGCAAAGGGCAGGCAGCGCTGGCTGCGGAGCAGAAGCAGATGATGGCACACACCCAGGAGGCGGCAAGACTGCTCAAGGGCACGCACGGCCTGGAACCGATCTTCCAGCACGTTACAGGAGTGATGCAGGCCGTCAAACAGATGGGGCCCAATCTGTCCCGTTTGATGGGCGGTGATATGGCCGAAATTAAGAATGCACTGCAGAGGGTAGAGGAACAGAATACATCGTTGTGCCCGAAAATTAACGAATTAGATGCAAAATTAAACAGGGCACTTGAGGCCCTTGGGGGTGACCCCCATGGTCGTCCTAACTTAGGACAGGATCCACTCCAAGCCATGCACATGTTCATGGAAATGTGGCGCTCAATGCATGGAAGCCAGCCCCCTAGTCCTTACCGTTAGTGTTTGTTTGTTTGCGTCTTTTGATGCCTTCTTAGGTGCTCAGCCCCTAGGTACTTGTAACCTGCTCTTTCACCATGCTAAGCGCCTGAGTGCATGTGCATGTTCTTTACAGCATGAGAATTCAATGCACGGATGGCATGATGGGTATCCGTAAGTGATATCCTCTGCACTGAACGAGTGCACCCTTCCTCTACATGCATGAATCCTGTGGCAGACACGGACACAACCTGCGAAATGTTACTGCGCTCGGATCGCTAAAGTGCCTGGTGGATCCCTCCCGCCCTTATTCCTACATTTGGCCTCGGTTGAACTGTTGCAGCCTTCAGCCTCAAACTCTATTCCACCAGCTAGTAAAGAGATGGCTTCAGCAAATGACGGTAGTGGAAGAATTTGGGGGAGGGTGGGATGATGGTTTGACTTTGCAGGTAGGCCTGATGGTTGGTATCCTCATTTTCTTGCATGGTTGTTTCAGCTTTGGAAGGTGGCTCCTCCTCTCAGGACAGCATGTACATGGCTTTGTTGTATCCCGACTCATTGTCTCGGTAGAAGTAGATCAAGAAAAACTTGAGGCGGTAGCACGTATTGATCGTAGAGTCGCCAAACTTGAATACCAGCTGTACGACCTTAAAGAAATCCTCCTGAAACTAGAGATCGAGATGAGAGACCTCAAGGCGACCGCAACGGAGGCCATTGAACTGCCCAACAATGTGTGCGAGGTCTTGGTAGATATTGAGGACTCCATGAAGACCCTCGCCCCCAAACTGGACAGATTCGTGAGCACCGTCAAACACCGCATTGATAACCAAAACTTCGTCATGCAATGTATGTATTACTCGCTAGATGAACAATTTTTGTTGCTTTGCGATGTAGCCAATATCCTCCAAGAGGCTATCGACCCTACATGCCCATATCCTTTCACTCTCCGACTTGCTAATCGCCCCAGGGGACAGGGGATGCGACCTCACAACAGACGGTATTACTGAGATGCATTAGCGCCCACAATGGCAGCTCTGCTCAAAGTAGAACTGTCTGTATGTTACTCAGCCACTAGTCGAAGCATGAGCATTGAAATGGTCGCAGCTCGTCAGGAGATGAGGCAAGGGGTGATTTGGGCGAGAGAGCTGCATGATTCCCTTGTTGCTTTCCCCCCGGAACTTACGTACGTTGCGGCCTCTCGCCTCTTAACCCGACTCCGCCGTATGCGGGCGATTTTGCCAATATTGAACTATCGCTGTGTTCTATGGCCTTATTGGAATGTCATCTGGGACGTCTGTGTTCCCCTTATTGTTGCGCATGAGGAAGATCGCCCGGATACGGTATCTATCAATGACAATAATATGCTTTTCAGGTGGGCCGAGACCACTGCGAAGAGGGTGTATATGAGCCTAGACGAATACAGTAGTATTTATACTGGCTGGAATTTGCCCCTCTCGTGGCCTAGTGGGGAAGCAAGACCCCTTTGTGAAAGAGTTTCCTTTTTTTCTAGAGCCCTCCCAACTCTGGAAGAGCATTACCGGCTCCTTCACGCAGTGCAGCCAAGGCTCATGACAAGACAAGCAAGCTTTAGTGCCATACTTTAATTTCCATGGCTTTATCGCCGCTTCAGTTCAGAGAACGCTTGTTGTCGGAGCTGCGGTCGATGCCACCAGGAGTCTCACGGGTCGCTGTGGATTCTTTATATAGTCTCATGGCTCGTAATCGTCACACCTATCCTTTGGGTGGCTACTCACTTCTTCATGATGTTGTGATGGATATTGCTCCTTTCTGGTTGGATCCAGGCAGCGACCCAGTATCTCCTCGGATCAGGGAGGATACTGCTCTGGAAGTTAGGGACTGGGTTGATTGGGTTGAGGGTAAATTGTATTTCAGTGTGGTGGAGCTTTCCAGGTCTGAGGCCCCTGAAGTGAGTGAGAGCTCGGAAGATACGGAACACATTTCGGATCCGGTTTTCTTTACGAACTTTCGTTCTGTTGCCACTCAAACGACGTTGTCTTTTGAGCTCTGCACGAGGGAAAGGGGCCATGACCACCACTGTAGAGATGCCCAATGATCCGAGGACAATCTCAGTAGAACGGATGAAGCATTCCATCTTGGAAAGCTTTGACAGAACTTCTGTGAAGTTTAAGGCCCAGGAAGATGGTGGTCAGGTTCTTTACCTGGGGCTCAATCCTAGGGACCTCGATCGGCTAACTCAGGCGACTGTACCTTGCATGCACTTGCTCAGTCAGATCACCGCTTTTCTGAGTCGGGTAGCTCCGAATCACAGGTACAGTTCAGTAATAGTCCGGGACAGTGCCGGCAAGGATATTCATAAGGACCTCAGGAACTCCCACTATCCTCAGGGTATTATTAAGCTTTCTGAGTTTGAAAATGGTGGTTTGTGGGTCGAATCTCCTACCGGTTCATCTGTTAAACAATATATGGGGATGAACGTTGTCGGCACGATTTGCGCAATCCCAGGAGATCGGCTGCTCACTTTCAGTGGCAAACGTTTCCTTCACTGCACCGAGCCTTGGTCTGGCCGTAGAGTAGTCCTTGTGGCGTATACACTCATGGGAGCGATGTCGATCCCCAGGGATATAGAAGAGAGACTGCAAGCTATAGGAATTCAGACGCCAGAGAGCAGCGAAGTAGAGTATTATTTTCAACATCCTGTAGGTCCTGGTCAACCAACCCAGCGGAGGTTACGCTTTCGCAGGCAATCTGGTGTCTGGCAAGCGGGACGTCTCAACCTGTTGCCGCATGAACCGACGATTGACATTGATAGTCAGGAATCTTATCTCGAACTGGTTATACCTACCCAACTTGATGACTCTTTTCCTTGCCCTCATAAGTCGGTTCATGATAGCGACTCGGTCGAGACTATCTTGCTTCCTAGGCTAGTAGATGGTGGTGTGTGACACACCTGTATGCATTAGTAAAGCTAAACTCGCAAAGCTCCTGAACACACTCAATGATGTCATGCACCTCTTTGCAACACCTTACTGTATTACCTAATGTAGTCCAAACCACCAACCCGCGTCCGTGTGCCATGGCTGACGTAGCTCCACTGAAAATGCATGGTCTCATCCTGTATGATGCATTCAATGCTTGGTGGAACTCGCCATATACTGCATGGGATTGGCAAACAGTGGAGCGATATACGGCATGGGATGGGCAAGACTGTGGAGCGGCACTGCCCGAAGGCTGGCCAAGACAGCCTTGCTGTAAGACTGCAGTATGAAGTGCTGAACAGGGGCAGGCCTGAAGAGATGATGAATGACAACGCACATGGGTCTACATTGGGAACGAATTCGATATTGCATGACTGCATGCCCCAGCGCTACAATATGGCAAGATGGGATACATATGATGACTCTGAAGCAGTGAGTCAGCCTCCCGATCAGTGACCACAGTGTGTAAGAAGATTGAGAACTGGTACGAAGGCGCCCCGCTGCGCACGGAACAGGAAACCAGAAGCTGAGAGTTTGGTGTACTCAGCAAATGCATGGACCGCTGCATGAAGCCTGAACGTCTGTGATGAACGAGCACCCCGCTGCATGATTTGCATGACAGGTAATTTGTTGCATAGCCTAATTTGATGCCTACACAATGCATGCCTGCATGTGCCAGACCGTTTCGAGCTGTCCCGTAGTAGTCCACACAGTTTCACTGATAGTGATGTACTGAGTGTATAGGGTAATTGAAAAGATATGTGCATATTCATTTGGTGCGACTAATTGGTTGTGCCTGGTCGGTAAATGCTGGCCCCTGAGCTCCTCGTTACGATGAGTCTTTCTTCGAGTTGCTTGTTTATAGTTGTTTGTCGACACGGGGGATCAGTCCCTCCTGATGCCTGCCTGGGTCCCCGCTGTAATGAGCGGTTTTCATCCTTGCGGGGCCCTGGGTTGAGGATGGGTCTTGACGCGATACAGTCATTTCAGCTGTTAGCAGGTTGTTATAGTTGCTATGACACCTCCTCTTAGAGACGTTTCACTTTGTATGACTCCGAACCACATGCCTCGCCTGGATTGTCCGAGTGTGAGCGCCGAAACCCAACATCCCCAAAACACTAAACCCGAAGATATTCAACAGCTGTATGGCGGTTTGGTGATACATGCCAATCGCCTGTGTTGACGAGAGACCAGTATCGCTGCAGACCTTGCCAGGCTTTGTCCGAGAGTGAGTCTCAAAAAAAAACCCAAGATCCTTAGATCCTTAACCCAACCTTACGTCCTAAGCCCTAACATCTCAAGACAGCCTGCTAACCACAGTCTAAAACTCGCCTGGACTGTTTGAATATGTCCTAAACTCTCTCCCCCGAAACCTAAACCCTTGAATCCGCAAGCCAAACCCCTGAAGCGCTACATCCTACTTGGAGGTTCATGGGTAGTTATAAGTGGGGTTATAAGTGCCCTAATTTGGGTTATAAGTATAGTTACTTCACCTATACCCATGAACCTCCAAGTAACGATCTATGCCGCAGGAGGCCATCGACTTCGCCCGTTCAGGGTCACCGATTTTCCACCTCCTCAAGGCGAACTTCGGAGGGTTCAGGGTTTATGGCTTTGGGGTAAGAGCTGAGGGCTACAGTTTAGTGTTGATGGGCTTTTGCAGGCTGTAGGATTGCAGAAGCAAAACTTAATCCCACACTCCTAAACAGCCGTACATCCTGCACCACTCCTGTGAACCCTAAATCCTGAACCACGACACCCTAAACCCGAAACCACAAAATACTTCGGCCCGAAGCCACTCGACTAAGCCTAAGGGCCTCAGGAGTGTAAAATTTTGTCAGTCTCGCTTTGTCGAGTTTCCATTGCAGCCACAACTAATTGGAGAGGTCCCTGCTGTCATACAGAACTGATGAACTGCCACCCTGCCATGTGGGTTCGTATTGCCGAGCGGGGAGAGAAAACCACAAGCCCTACGCCCTAAACCAACACAGGGAACCTCGAACGTATTAAACCTTGTTGCATGCCCTAGCTCCGAGCCCTAATGTAGAAACCTGATTAAGTAACCGTGGGCCTTTATTAGGGCTCCTTACATGAATCCTACTATTTTTGGGTGTTACGCCCAGGGTTTCTTAATCAGGTTCCATTAGAGGCTATCCCCTAGAAATCGTCTACAACCCCGGCATAGCGATTCCTGTTTGGTTCCCGCCCTGCATTTCCAGAGGTGGGGTTGGCACTCGTAGCGTTTCAAGGGCAAACGATCTATGAAGAGGATAAGAAGGACATCTAAGAGTATCAGCCATAGAAAACATGAACAGTTCTAGCATGTTCTACTACACTCTATCAATAGTAACAATAGTACTAGTAAGAATAGCCATGGCAATAACTATTTGGATATGTATATGGGGGCTGTCCTAAAACCGCTCTCTGTAAGTTGATACAAACCTCAAAGCGACTATATGAAAATATGCAAAACCCTCGCGCGCGAAAGGTACGCGAAAGCGGTGCGGAAGAGATGCGAAATGGAATTGCCTAACTAGTGAGGGCATGCATGTTTCGGTGCAGGGGGAACGGCAGGCGCAGGCGGGCCAGGGCAGTTCCAAAACCACGAAAAAAGCGCTTTTGGAAGCCGCGGGAAGCTCAAAATGGTGGTTTGTGGTTGGCCAGGCAGGGCAGAAGGGAGCGGCGAGGCGGAGCCTGGTGAAGAGACCCTCCCTAAATCTTAGGTTTCTGCTTGTGACAGCCAGCGTAAAGGACCCTTTGAGTGAGAGAGCTGTATGGCTTGTAAACAGGATCCTCCTAAATCTGCACTCCTTGCACAGCTCCTATCTGATGTAAGGACCCTCGGGGAACATTTTAGAACCGCACACTGTGTATTGTTTGGTATACGAACTAAAAATACTGAGTTTCTCTGCAGCTTTCAGAGATGCTTTTGCGCCCGAGTTATGTTGAGGTGTTCTTGTTTGTTGCGTTTTTCCTCGCGCGCGAAAGAGCGCGGAAGCTATGCGAAAGCGGCGCGGGAGGGGCTGTTTCTGGGAGAAAGAATATCGGATAACACCCATATACCTCTGCACGCAAGCATACATAGTTCTGATTAGCGTTCACATCTGCAGGACGTAATTCATTATACTCCTGTGGGCTCCCATTATTAGAAATATACTGATAAAATACTGAAACGGTCAAGGACAGTTTGACCAGA